CCAAATCTCTATTCAAAGGGCAACGTTATCAAGGAAAATCAAGTCTCTCACTTGAGAGTCACTCGAAAATTAGTTGACCTTCCCCTTTGACCCCGTTGTCCAACATTGTTGACCGCTACAGATGAACCAATCATTCCCGGAGGAACGGAAAACTGTTTTTTCCATATGTCTCTTCTAAGTCTATAATCCTCAAATCTTCCACACTTGCATGCACAGGGTTTTTTTTAACCGGGGAATAAGGGCGCTGCTCCCTCATGTAACCAGCCAGCTCCCTCATATCAATTTTCAGATTGAACCCTAAGTGGCTACTTACATGTACACACCATTTAGTTTTTAAAGATGTAGAAACAATACAACAATGCATTCAAGCATTACAAACTGTGTTACTCTCATAAAAAAATCCCCCCTCGGTTGCTTCGCTCCTTTACCATGCTAGTGATCTGCTCCTTCATGCTCAATTTTTCTAGAAAACCCTTGTAACCATTTTGCACCTTGTGTGCTAGCCTGGGTTACAGACCCACAGCACACTAGGCTCTAAGTTATCCAGTGTGCAGGATAACTTGGGCCTAGTTAGCCTCCATAGCATGCCAAAAACTGAGAGTTTGGGGGGTTTTCAGGGTCTTTGGGATCTTTTATGTGCAATTTTCTGATTGCATATAGACAACATGGCCGGCCTGGTTGAATTACCACGTGGGCTAATCAGAAAACAGCCAAAGACCAACAAACCCCCAGTTCTATAAGCCTGCTACTGAGGCTAGGGCCTAGCATAGTGTGCTATGGGACTGGCATCCAGGCTAGTTGCGCGTTGGAAAGTGTCAGGCCTCGAAATTAACTTTTCTTCCTATTGTCCCAGCACTGTCCCGAAAATAAATTTCAATTGTCCTGAAGTGAGGATGAACTGTCCCAACCTGTTTTTCAGGAAGTGAACTTGAAGTCAGCTTTATTTAGGTGACTTCCAGGCACGCTATAATAATTATTGCAGAGTAAACGGGAAATTTTGGGGAGCTTTTTACGGAGCCAAACAAAAGAAAGGCTGACATTCTGATGTTTATTATTTTTCTATTGTCCCAAAGATGTCCCAAATTGTCATTTCAGTTGTCCCAGCTTACATTTTTGTTGTCACCGGCCATTGGGACACCTTTAATTTCTAGTCCTGAGGCCACACCAATTTAATTTCTTGGTTAATGGATTTTTCTAGAAAAATAATGGAGTGGGTGGGCGAAAAAAAAAAAAAACAGGCCTAGGCATCCTATTATGGCCCAAAATGGTATGATAGGAGCCATGAAGTCAACACACCAGGCTGGTTCAAAGTTTAAACAATGAATTTTGAACTTTTAATGATACCATTGCATTGAAAGATGGAATGACTGTGACAAGTAGGAAGAAAAGGACTGTTTTCAACTGTTCAGGGCAAAATATGAGCATTTTGCAGTTGATTCTGGATTTTTATTTTTATTTGCAAATCAGGAAAATATTAAGTGGGCGAATCCGTTAACCATGAAATTAATTTCGAGCCCTGAAGTGTAATAACCGTGGTGGCGCAGACCCTGGCACCTCTGATTACCGGTTGATCCAGTGTTTTCGACCGGCGCCCTCCGGCGGGAGGGTCGTGGCCCGTGGCGCGCCCTCGTCTTATTGCCGCGCTGCACTGGTGCATCCTGGGTAAATTGGTATTCTCCACTAAGGTCTTGCATACACAAAATATGTTACATGTACATCATATACATCATATTTCTGAAATAATTAACGGTAGGTTAACTATCACTACTAAACTTGTTTTTTCGTTAAAACATATTTCTCCTTCCTGTGTGTTTCTACTTTTCCCAAGCAAGACATGTATTCTCCACAAAATATGTTACATGTACATATCCGGCTTCATATTTCTAAAATTTTTAGTAATATCAAAATGTTTGATAACTATCAATACTAAACTTATTTATTTTCCTACTTCTAACTTCCAACATTCAAGTACACAAAAAAAGTCATTATAGCTACCTCAGTGGCTGCCCGAGATTAATCACCTTCATTTCCAACAAAGACAACACCTTATTTCAGGCGACCAATCTGTAATGTCTCTTCCCAGACAAAAAAGTTAAGAGTTAAACTTCAACTTAAAGTCCTCCCCGCAACCATTCGCATGGCCATGGTCGCATATGGCGGCACCCCTCTCCATTTCTATAGCCCTTGGGCCACACAGTGCAATTACTATAGCAGGGGGCTAGTCCACTAGTAGCAGTGTGTGTTTAACTCCCATACTCTTTCTCAACTGCTGAGTGCTAAGCAGAGAAAGCAGTATGTACCATTTTTAAAGTCTTAATGGTATGACTCGGCCAGGGATCAAACTCACAACCTACCGAATGCAAGGCGAGCACTCTACCCACTTGGCTCAAACAAAAACGGATCACACGTAAACCTCCTCAAGACAACTTGAAGAATCTCTCCCCAGTACCATCATGACCTTGGACTGGTCCCAAGACGCAGGGGTGAGCGTAATTAACCCAGGGTGCACCTGGGCCTCCACCTTGCGCTGGTTGGCTTTGAACTTCAATCTATCGTAACCTAACACCTTACAGGGCTGACATTTCCTTACAGGGTGATAGTTAAACATGCACGTGTTCATTCATCAATGTTGTAAAGTACTGTGCAGAAGTCATTTCCAACTTTTCATAATAGTTCGACATTCTAATTAAAAAAAAGAAACTCAAAGTAATCTTGATCCAGTTTTACCTCACTGGTCGTAAAAGAGAAGACAGACGCTATGTACAGTATTTACAGGTTCATTGTACCAGAGAAATTCCCCTAGCTAGATTTTCAACAAGCACAATGAACAGAGGACCACAGTGTAACAGCAAGACTTTCCAGTAGTGACACTGTGTGCATGTCAGGTGAGCGACAACAGCCAGAATTCAAACTTCTTGTTCCAGAGGCAGGGTCGCTAACAACTGGACTACACATGCTACCGATGATAATAAATAGTACAGATTCACTCTAACCCTATTTGTATCAGTTGTATCTCCCAGCAAACTGTCTTCATGTTGATCTTCCAAGTCAGGAATATCTTTATTAAAGAGATAAAAAAATGGTGTGGCCTTAAGTTTACACATACAGAGGATCGGACAAGAGTCAATAAGTGTGCTCAATATGTGGCATAATACCGGTAATACAAATCTCACATATCAGAAATTGGATTGAACCTTGTCAAATCGGGACGACATAATATGTTCTGACCACAAGACTGTGTGCTTACAACTGGTTACTAGTAGAGTACATCTAAGTCCATCAGAAGTCCATGTGAAATCGAATAGATAGAAACGGAAATGAAATTTCCTTAATATCAAGTAATATTACCTGACAACAACTTTGAATGTGACATGTTACAGAATATGATAGGTTAAAAAAAAAAACGACCATCTTAGGAAGATGAATTTGTGTCTCAAGGGTATAACCACATTGCTTTATCATACTCATTTTACAGCAAACCATGCAACAATGCCATCTTTCAGCAATGTTTGAAACTGCAAACGACCATGTGATTCTGTACGGAGCCAAGCAACAAGGAAATACCACAGGCATACATACAACTGTAGTTGATACTTGTAGTAGTATAACTTCCCTTCGGCTTCGCAGGCACCTGGCCAGCAGCAGCTGGCTATATTACACCAAAGCACCTGCTACACCCAACCTTTGCACATCAATGCATGTAAAAACTTATTCAAGTTATTGTCACAATGCAGATATGCCAATATTGACATTAAAATTCAGAAACAGAACTGGTAAGACAATCATCAACAGGAACTGTAACCAACATACCCACCTGCACAGCATCAATTCAGCATCCCAACAACTTACCTTCCTTTCAGGTATGTTTCCAACAAGTGGTCAATAATGAACAGGTGGTCAATAATGATAACATTACCATAGAAGTGTCAACTGGTATATCAAAGATTTCGTAGATTCTCAACATGCAATACAACAGTGAAATGATGAGCAAAGATTATGTTACTGTAGGATATATTTCCTGGACGATAGCTGGTTATTAGTATCATAGCAATATTACGCTTTTTTCCTCATCCTTCACAGGTACTAGTTACAGATAAAGTTTAATACTGCCTGGCTGGATTTTATTACAATTTTCTACTTAACAGATGTGATATAAGTTCATATAACGTATAATACCGAAATGTCGCATGGTACAGATACAAGTAAAGATTTCAGTGCAGTGGATGATAACAAGAGTTTGGCCTACCTCCTCCTCATCCATAGTTTCTTGCAGTAGAGATGGACAGTGTGACAGCGCCACCTAGCAGAATACGTTGTAACTGCAGCTCTCGTGCTGAGCGTCGACTTCACCGGAACCAGTTCTTTGTTCCGTCTTGAACGAGTGTTCAAGAAGACAGGAACCTCACAAGACCGATTGTGTATGGCTTCTGATACCTTCAAGAGTTGTTCACCAGCTTGAAATGTCCAGCGAAGATAGAAGACGTCTTTAAATGCCCCTAAATCGCGACCCGCTCGAAACCCACGTTGCTTCTTTTGAAAGACCTCCGGTGTAGAAAAATGGTCCGTTGCAAGAAACAGGAGAAAACTTTTTCCTTCAAATTTCTGTATAAAGCACTTTATATACACAGTAATTAATGCACACTACTCTTGATGTACATATTCTCAAGGACTATGAGGAAAAGGACAAAACTTTTAACGTTTATCTGTAAAATCGACTAATTTACCGCCATGATTTTTACCCAGAGGTCTAAGCGATAGGGACAACCTTTGACCTAAAGAATCGTCCACCTCTTTTAGAGGGAGGATAATTCAAAGTATTTAGATTTACGGGAAATTCATTTCAGCAAAATAGCATTTCTAATTGTAAAAGTTAAATTCTAATTCTAATAAAATATGTTTTGGCTAATGTAAGATGTAATTTAGTTTTATTATTTATGCTTTTCTTAATAAGTGAATGTCCACCTCCCTATGAGGAAATATGATCGTCCAATAACAACATTCGAAAGTCTCACCAGGAAGAAGAAAAAACACACCAAGACTTCCCTCCAAATAACCCTTTCAAAACCTGCCGAAACGTCGCCCAAATCTCTCGCCGATGGACTTCGACACTTGCCGACTCGTCGCGGAGAGCTGGGCGGACTCGGTGGACTGTCCCTTCCGCCTCTTGTTCGCAGACGTGGCGGAGAAGCGGCTGGTTTTCTCCGCTCCAAGGAACGAGTCGGTCTCCTTCTACGTCGTCTGTCCGGACTGCGAGACGGAAAACAAATGGGTAAACTTTGATATCATACGATTTTCTTACTAACATTATGTCAGGTAGTGATAATATACTGCCTGACTGCCTATGCTGTCCAAGCATATGACGGTCTCAATACCCTGGGAAAGGGTACCAACTGACCTTGATGAAGTTGATCAGGTGAATATGAATATATTGCGTTTCGTTGCAGCATGATTCAATGCATGAACATAAACCTGAAACAAGACCTTTGCCAAATTTAATGTACCAAGAAGCAAACAAAACTAAATTGGAGTTACCAAAAACCTAATAGGGTTACGTAATCTCCAAGAAGATCCAAGGGTGTCAGAAAGACAGTATCAAGCAGAGGGTCCAATACACCACCCAAGGTTGAGGGGGTAGCGACAAAAAAAAAAGGACCAGCCACAGTAAACAGCAGCTCAGTAAATGTCTTCAAGACCAAGTTGGCTATAGAGTGGAAGGACCACCCTGATAGATATGTATATGTCTTCTCCTACTGAATACCCAAACTGTCTACACCACGAAGACGGCCTCATTACCCAGTAAGGGTACCTAATGGCCTGGATTCAGGTGAATATTCAGGTGAACATATAGAAAGATCTTCCCTGATCAACCTCTGCTTAGTTCTACAGGGGAGTTTGTCCATTGAATGAGTGGCAAACCACTTCTTTAGTGGACTAACTCCCCTGGCATGTTATTTGTCAAACCATAATGCTTGGAGATTAAATAACCACAGAATATTTTGATTCCCACCCCTGCAGCATGTCTGGAGTGACTCTGACACATCCCTCCCCTGCCTCGCCGATGTACAAGACTTCGCCCAGTCCTGCCAACAGAAGTCCCTGGTGGATGTGCTCAACAGGACTGCTAAAGCTCTGAAGCCTGTAAGTTCTTTACCCTTGTCCTGCGGATCGCGGAGCCCATAATATATATACATAATATATATGGTTTGCACATACACTGCCATCTACTAGTAGTATATAGCTCACTGTATATGTACAATTTGGGGGTATTTCTCGTGCAATGCATCACACCGCAGCGAAACGCAACAAATGCAGAAGTAACCACACCACTGCAGGGCAAAAAAAGTCAAACTCTATGACCTGATTAAGACATCAAATTATTTGAAAATATTGTGAAAAATATTGCATAAGGCTTCTCTTTTGTTAGAACATCTAACAAAAAAATACTACATTCATGTCTAAAGCTACATCAGGGCCTATAGCTAGTCACAGGTGAAGAAATCATTTTAACATTTATTTTTTACCCCTCCATCTCAGCTTCTAGGAGGACCAGTTGATGATGACCAAGATGAAGGCCTAGATGATGATGATGAGGAGGAGGAGGATGAAGATGAAGATTATGATGATGATGATCAGGAGTATTACACCATGGATGACCCTGATGCAGCTCCAGAGACAAACCCTACCTCCTGTAATACCTGTGTGGAGCAGAATTGGTGAGCTGGTCTTTAATAACATAATATTTTGTCATTTCCAGGTGCAGAAGTATTGACTTTGTGTATGCTTGTCCAGTTAGAGTACTAGTATGTTGATATGCATTGTTGATGACTGAGCTGATGTGTTATGCTAAAGGGCGGTTATACCGGTTATGCAGATACAGAAGCTGGTGTGTTATGCTGAAGGGTGGTTATACCGGCTATACAGATACAGAAGCTGGTGTGTTGTGCTGAAGGGCGGTTATACCGGTTATGCAGATACAGAAACTGGCGTGTTGTGCTGAAGGGTGGTTATACCGGCTATACAGATACAGAAGCTGGCGTGTTGTGCTGAAGGGTGGTTATACCGGCTATACAGATACAGAAACTGGCGTGTTGTGCTGAAGGGTGGTTATACTGGCTATACAGATACAGAAGCTAATGTGTTTCACTGAACAGCGGTTATAATGAATTGGTTTATTTAAAACAAAATAGCACATACTAAAACCGTGTTGCAACCAGTTATACTGGATATTCAGTTTGTATAGGAAATACCATTTCATGAAGTTGACATCTTTATTCTCCTTCCCTCTGTTGTTTAGTGAAGAGGAAGATGAAGAAGATGGTGTTGTAGAGAGCAGCTACAAGACGGGTGGTGCCAGCTCTGTAGCCATCCACAGGCTCATCATGGGTAATATGGAAATGATTTTAACTGTCACAGTCTTTTGTTAGAGGAGTCTAGTATGAATGAATGGGTTATTATGAATTGCATATTTGTGTCAAGAAGCATCAATAAAATACATGTACAGATACAGAGCCTGACTTGCCTTTTCCTTCTCCAAATGTTCAGATCTAAAGAACATGAAGAAAACAAAAGGCAAGTTTGGAGTGGAGGGTGTGCCAAGAGGGGTAAGTCATGCCTGGGTTATGTTGTGTGGGAATATTTTATCCTTTAGATTATATTTTTTTGTAAATGATTATAGGAAAATGTCTTTAAAAAGTTTGGCTCCCATGTAGCTTCATCCACACCACATGTAAGTGTTGTTGTCCAACTATTTGCAGAGGCGGCGGCACGAAATTTTGACTGGGGGGGCGAGATTTTCTCCCATGTAAACTATCTTTGCGAGCGCCGAAGGCGCGATGCGTCGCGCCGGGAAAATTTTGAAATCTAGACCCTCTGAAACGTTATTTCCTGCATTTTGAGGGGCAAATTTTGCTAGCACTTAGCTCAGTTTTATTACCCCTACCAAGAGGGCAGTGACCTCGCTATAAACTTCGCCGGGAGTAGCGTAAAAAAAATTTCCTAGGCCCTCCCCCCAGGTCAAAAAAAATTTTCCTAGGCCCTCCCCCCGGCGCAAAAAAATTTTCCTATGCCCTCCCCCCGGCGTGAATCATAGAGAGTGAACTTTCGTATGGGGAGGACGAGATTTTGATTGAAAATTTTCCCCGCATGAAGCGCCGAAGGCGCGAGCCATCGCGCCACAGGCGCCACTAGAGCCCGAGTAGGCCCGGCTTTTTTTGGTTGGGGGGGGCATGTTCCCCCCGGAAAAATTTTGAATTTCAACCCATGTTTTGCATGTTGAGGGGCAAATTTGGCAGCACAAATTTCGCTGGTACATCGAGATATAAATTTAAAGTCAGTAACGTTAAGGTCAGTCAGTGTAATCGAAATAAATCTAGCCTACATTTCGTCCACGAACTTCTTCCGCGTCAATTTTATTACAAACAGGGAAACAATATTGCCAAGTTACGTGTTGTTTTCAATTAACTTCGGAGGGACATAGATATAAATGTTAAAATAGTCCTTGGTTTAAGAAAAATACCAAATTAATCCGTCAACATCCGACATATCCACGCCGAAAAGTTCGAGCGAGTTGCGAGGCGGGACCAGCGGGACCTTTGCCGACGCACGCACGCACACCTCTGGGAAGGGTGCGTTGAACGGCGAAAATTAATTTTCAAAATCTTCCGACAAGCCTTCCCTACATTTTTGATCGGTATCGTTTCGATTGCCGCGATTGACGCGATTTTAATCCATGTAATTTGGCTGTGTAGTCCAGTTTCGCCGATTCTGGCGAAACTGCAAGATTTTGAAGGGGACTGTGGGAGATTGGGGCGAATACATTATAATAATAGGG